AAAAAAAAGGCATACGAATGCATAGCTAGATTCCTATTGGCTATTGCACTTTGCAATAGCCAATAGAAAACTAGCTAATGCATCCGCCCACTGCTGCTGTCAATCAGCAGAGGGGGACCTGAATTTTTACCTGTTATTATTCTGAGTTGCCCCACTCAAGCGGCGGCCATATTGAGTGGGGCACGTGAGATTAATAACGTGCTGGATTAGTGTGATCCTAGTTCATTGTATTACTTCATTGCTGTGCTGTATGTGTATAGGCCAATGTAGTTGGATGTGTATGTGCGTTATAATTCATCGAAATTAATCGATTAAAAAAAATGTTGATATCGAACAGGAAATTTTTAATCATTACCAGCCATAGTATTTTCGGGTGTTGGAGATGTGATCCTGTGTAAATTAGCAGCTGACTTCCAACACACTGACACATTCCTCTGCATTGGCCTATTTGTCAGAGAGCAGTAACACCTAGTGCAGGGGTGCCCATTAGGTCCATCGCAAAGCAAACACTGGTAGATCGCAATCGGCTCACTGACCTGAGCTCCCTCCTGCGGTGATCGTGGGGAGAGAAGAGACAGCAGGGAGAGAGAGAGAGAAGAGACATCAGGGAGAGAGAGAGAGAAGAGACAACAGGGAGAGAGAGAGAAGAGACAGCAGGGAGAGAGAGAGAGAGAGAGAGAGAGAGAGAGAAGAGAAGAGACAGTGTTGCGGCCTTGATGTGCCTGCGTTTCGGGTGTGGGCGAGGGGGGGCGTGGCTGCGGTGCCATTGACTTCAATGCACCCCCTCCCGCCCCTGAACGTAGGAAGCCGGCCGGCTTGCGTTCCAGAGGCTGAACGCTCTGGAACGCAGACTTTGTGGTGTGAACCGGCCCAGAGAGAGACAGCAGGGAAAGGAGAGGGAGAGAGATACAGGGGAGAGAGCGCGGGAGAGAGGCAGTAGCCCCAGTAACGATTGTAATGCGCTTGTTTTTTTAAATAAAAGGTGTTTTTTCGTTTTGTAGATCTCCTTGAGCTCGTCATGTGAACAGTAGATCTCCGGACGAAAAATTGTGGGCGCCCCTGACCTAGTGGGTCTTGGTAAATACGGTCCATGACCGAGCGCCCGACTTTTCAGAGGGGGGTGACACCAAAATGACTGTGAGTCCTTTTGGTGTCACCCCTACAATGGTGTCCCCCGGGTGCGGGCCGCACCCCCCTAGAGACACCACTGTCTTAGGGTACCTGTCACACAACACATCAGCAAATACACTATGTGGACACCCCTCCAAATGATTGGGATCAGGTGTCTCCAGTGAAGACATTGTAGACCATTGTGCTCGTCCAACCTTGCGGGAACAGTTTGGTGAAGGTCCTTTTCTATTGCAGCATGACTCCGCCCCCGTGTACAAAGCCATCTCCATAAAGACCCGGGTTTGACCAATTTGGTGTGGAGGAACTCAAGTGGCCTGGAGACCCTACTGAACCCTTACCCCTTTGGGGTCAAATGGAACGTGGATTGGAAGCCATTGGACATCAGCACCAAATGCTCTATTGGCTTCATGTACACGCTTTCCTACGGATAAAATCCAAAATCTTGTAACAAGCCTTCCCAGAGGGGTGGAGGCCGTTCCAGCGCTGAATACTGAAAAATGGCCTGGACAGGAAGGGGGTGTAACACCGCGGACTCCAAGTGGTTAATGGGCCGGTGTTCTGTTGGCATTGATTCTTCCTCTGTGTGTGTGTCCCATCACCTAAATGGTCCTACATGGTCTCGCTAACAGACTCATCGAGAGTGCGGTCTGACCCATGACGCCCAGGCTGTTAAGCTGACCACGGACTGGTTGAACTTTGGACAAGTCCAGCTAATCCTACTCACGTGTGACCCAGTTGGCTCCCCTCCATCTGACAAAAGACAATTCAAAGTTTGATTTCTCGAAGGCGCTGATCTGAAACATCTCGGCCAGACAGTGACTGTCACCCAAACTTCGCCCTTTTAGCCGTGGTGACACTACAAGTCCTATTAGGCATTGAAAGACGGTGACAGCTACAGGAATGACTTCCAGAGGCAGATGCATGTTGAGTTTTGTAGTTTCCCCATAGCTGGAAGGCCAAAGCTTGGCTACTCCTGCTGTAGGCATTCAGCTGAAGCCACTGCTGGGGTATTCTGACAGCGGCATACTGGTCACTGTCAAAATACAACAGCCTGGTAGGGAGGGTTGTTCTATCAAAGTTTGTGACCGTGTTAGAATGTGTGACCGATGACGTGTTCACATATTTTAACCTAATCCCGCCCAGTTCTTCGGCGGTGGCATGTGTGACCCGTGACGTGGTCAGACATTTTAACGTCCTCCCACCCAGTTTTTCGGCGGTGGAATGTGTGACCCGTGACGTGGTCACACAATTTAACCTAATCCCGCCCACTTTTTCAGCAGTGGAATATGTGACCGGCAAAAGGAGAAGAATTCCAACAATTTCTCAGCTGCTCCAGGGCAGATCGGCATCGCAGATGGCATGTGCAGGAGAACCGATCTGCCCTGGAACAGCTGATCGGTCCTGAAATGTCACTTCTATCCGCCTTAGTGGAATGTCAGATTGCACTCACAGAGTCGGATAAAAGTGACATTTCAGGACCGATCAGCTGTTCCAGGGCAGATCGGTTCTCCTGCACATGCCATCTGCGATGCCGATCTGCCCTGGAGCAGCTGAGAAATTGTTGGAATTCTTCTCCTTTTGCCGGTCACATATTCCACTGCTGAAACAGTGGGCGGGAACAAGGATGGCTCCCCCCTGATCCGTGCTGTACTGTAGATAGGGGAATCGAGAGTTTTTCTATAAGTGTATAAGGGGACGGAGGTTGCTGAGGCCACGACAATGGCGGCCATGTTCGTTCTGGCCGCCTTTTCGCTGTCCTGGCGGGGGGGGGGGATGTGGATCTGTGGAGCTCCGGTGGTCGGTCGGCAGCGGCGGCGTCCACAGCCATCTCAAATACTCATCTGCCCCAGCGCTCACAGAACACGGATGCTGGCGTGGTGGCATTTTACAAACAATAAGTCTTCTCTTACCCAGAGAGAGAAGGGACTGCCCAGTCTCCATCATGGAATCCTCATGGAAAGCCGTCTGAACAGCCGACCTGTAAAATATGCAGACCTGTAAACATCAATGTGCAATACATATATAATGAATGACACAGGGTAGTAAAATAGTGCGCAGTTTGTAATTGGCGCCACGTATAGGGATGGCGGCCTGAACAACATAACGGAGGGTGAAGGCTACTAAAAAAATAATCATATATTTCTTTAAAAGGCCTTAAATGAATGAAATGGTGGAAGAGACCGTCACCTGACCCAACCTGACCCCCCAAGGAGGGACAACAAGACGGGGGAGCGACCGGTAAGAGGAGGGACAACAAGACGGGGGAGCGACCGGTAAGAGGAGGGACAACAAGACGGGGGAGCGACCGGTAAGAGGAGGGACAACAAGACGGGGGAGCGACTGGCATGAAGAGTTAGTTAGAACATCAGCTTGGGGGGCAATTTTAACTGTTTAATTATTACCCAGAGTCCCCAAAGTAGAGGCCACACAAACCTCCTCTCATCCCGTGTTCTTCATCTATGTCACACAACCCTGTACCCCGTGTTCTTTCTAGATGTCACATGTACCCCCGTGTTCTTTCTAGATGTCACATGTACCCCCGTGTTCTTTCTAGATGTCACATGTACCCCCGTGTTCTTTCTAGATGTCACATGTACCCCCGTGTTCTTTCTAGATGTCACATGACTGCCCTGTTCTTCATAGATAGATGTCACATGGACCCCCGTGTTCTTTCTAGATGTCACATGTACCCCCGTGTTCTTTCTAGATGTCACATGTACCCCCCGTGTTCTTTCTAGATGTCACATGACTGCCCTGTTCTTCATAGATAGATGTCACATGTACCCCCGTGTTCTTTCTAGATGTCACATGTACCCCCCGTGTTCTTTCTAGATGTCACATGACTGCCCTGTTCTTCATAGATAGATGTCCCCCTCCCGTGTTCCCGATAGCTATCACACAACCTCTCACTCTGCTCTTCATTAGATATGTCACATGCAACATCCCCCTTCTGTGTTCTTCATAGATATCACATAAAACCCCAGTGTTCTCCATAACTATCCCACCCCACCCCAGACCACATACAGTACTTGAACCTTCTATCATAATAAGAAGAAACCGTTATTACCTCCAGTCCTCCTCTGTATATAAAGTGGGTAGCAGGGCGTACACCCCTTTCCTAAACCCCCCTCTCCTACTGAATCTCTCTAACTCTTCATTAATATTCATCAGTTTATTATCACACATCACTCACCAACTGCTCCACAACGACCCCGACCGGAAGTCCGTTTTTCTCTCTCCGCTACACACAGGAAGTGAATGAACATGCAGTACCTCCCTGCAGAGAACAGAGGAGAGCGCCTACCTGCGCCCTCTGCTGGCCGGTTCTGACTGGCTTTCAACGCAGGCTGAGCGGACGTTCTGATTGGCTCTCCGGAAAACTGGAAGGAAGTGGGAGGGCGGCGGCGGCCATTTTCCTGTGGACTTGCTTGGGGGAGAAGTGCAAGGCGGCCGCCATTGTGTTGTAGCGCAGAGGAAGAGGCGCGGAGGGACTGTTTTAGCGCCAGAGGTATCCTGCTGGTTGGTGTGTGCTCGGTGAGGAGAGGTAATATTTACAACATTAATGTCTTATTATAAAAGAAGGGGGTCCCAGCACTCTCTGTGGACTGGATATGGGATGGGGGGGTCATGTCACCTCAACAAATCATCAGCTTCCTCTGCTGTGTAGACCATTAGATGGTGAGCTCCTCTGAGGCCGGGCTGACCTCGCTGGGGGCGTATTCTTTGGAAAAATCACGAACCATGTCTTATAGGAATAGAATGGCCAGGGATGGTGGGGTCACGTTCCACCGTGATGCTTGCAGCTTGTCGTTCCCATTCCATCCTCCTTGATTTTAGCGTCTGTCCTGGTTTTTCAGGCCCTAAGAAGAGCAGCGCCCTTTTCATATATGGTCAAAGTAGGATTTTGGCATGGTGTAATTTTTAAGGGGGAGGGGTCTGAATGCGTGTAAATGTTGACTTTGGAAAAGTTAGGTCTGGTGATGGCGGAGATCATGGAAGGTCTCATTATGTCTCCATAGGTGTGCGCATAGGGTGTTCCGGGTGTGCCTGGGCACAACACTGAAACTGCAACAGCGGGTGTCATGTTTTTAGTCCTTGAGCCGGTGGAGGGATCACAAAGATCTCTCTGTGACCGGGTCAGTGATACAGAGCGCGACACCACTTGCCACTTACACTCCTCACGTAACAGCCACAGTCCTCGGTGCCTGGGAAGCTGCGAGGGAGTGTGGCTGTATCTTCCCATTCAATAAGGAAGCCGGATAGGTGGTCACATGACCACCTTCCAGGCTCCTTGTACTTTTGTGTGCACACCCTAATGGTCGTTGCTGCAGGAGGTGGTTAGAGGTTTCAGACGTTGCTGCAGGAGGTGGTTAGAGGTTTCAGACGTTGCTGCAGGAGGTGGCTAGAGGCTTCAGACGTTGCTGCGGGAGTTGGTTAGAGGCTTCAGACGTTGCTGCAGGAGTTGGTTAGAGGTTTCAGACGTTGCTGCAGGAGGTGGTTAGAGGTTTCAGACGTGGCTGCAGGAGCTGGCTAGAGGTTTCAGGCGTTGCTGCGGGAGGTGCTTGGAGGTTTCAGACGTTGCTGCGGGAGGTGCTTGGAGGTTTCAGACGTTTCTGCGGGAGGTGGGTCGAGGTTTTAGACGTCGTTGAGAACACTGACTCATATGGCCCAAGGACCACACAGTAAGTACCATAAACCCATATGCAGCCCTCAAGCTGTAGGATGAGCATGAGGAACCTAGTAATTTTCTATAGTAAGATCTCTGTAGTCAATGTGCACCTGAAATGACTATAACAAGGGCGGTATTAGGAGAAGTTAGACCCAGTAAAGGTGGCAACGAAAGGAGTTGTCAGAGTTTTCTATTTATGAAAACAAGCAAGGATCTGTAATTAAAGGAGAACTATGGGGTCAGGGCTCTTCCCCATAGTTCTCCTAAGGGTCACGGGAGGACACAAACTAGCGTCCTCCCGTCACCCAAAGCTCAGTATCTAGAGAGCAACAGCTCGCGGTATACTGAGACTGCGGCAGCCGGGACGGATCCCGACATTACTGTCGAGATCCACCCAGCTGCATGATTGACAGCTGGCTCTAAAATGTTTTTGATCGGTACTCACCTCTCCGCCGACTTCCGTCGGAGATCCGGTGACGTCACGGACATCGACGTCACCGGACTCCTCCCCCCTTCGCCAAGTGGCTCCGTCGGCTAACGAAGGTAAGGGGGGAGGAGTCCGGTGACGTCAATGTCCTTGACGTCACCTGACTTCTCCCCCCTTCCCTTCGTTAGTCGACGAGAGACTAACGAGGGGGAGGAGGAAATCCAGCAGCAGGTCTTATTGGCTGAAGAGGCATGTTCACAATCCTAACCCCACTACACAGTCTGCTTGGGGGCCTATTGTGCAGACAGAGGACTTCAGTGTGGTAACCCACGTCAGGGGGGGGGGGTCCGGTGACGTCAATGTCCGTGACGGCTAACGAAGGTAAGGGGGGAGGAGTCCGGTGACGTCAATGTCCTTGACGTCACCTGACTTCTCCCCCCTTCCCTTCGTTAGTCGACGAGAGACTAACGAGGGGGAGGAGGAAATCCAGCAGCAGGTCTTATTGGCTGAAGAGGCATGTTCACAATCCTAACCCCACTACACAGTCTGCTTGGGGGCCTATTGTGCAGACAGAGGACTTCAGTGTGGAATGTAAACAAACACATAATATGGAGTAATGAAGCTTTGACTAATTTATACCAACTTGCCATCTTCCAGGCATAAAAAAAAGGCTTCTATTGATATTATAGACTTTCCTTACAGAGATGGAACTTTTGAAATCTTTTCAATAGCTCCGAGTGGAGTTCAAGCTTAAAGGAGAACTATGGGGTTAAGGCTTTTCCCCATAGTTCTCCTTAGGGTAACGGGAGGACACAAACTAGCGTCCTCCCGTCACCCTGGGCTCAGTATACTGAGACGCCGCAGCTGTATGTTTTCGTTCACTTCCCGATCTACTGAGCCGACCTGTGACAGTCTCATTGTCACAGGTCGGCTAGAACTATGAGGTGAGTGAAAATCACTCGCCTCATAGTTCTCCTTTAATAAGTCTTTCTATCAATACCTGCAGATTTTTACCTTTTTTAAATTTCTTTGTGTGGCCCTGTCCCCATTACCAATTGTTGCTTAGACAAGAATTCTGTATGTGCGTTATAATGAATCAAAATGAATCGATGAAAAAAAATTTCGATTAATCGAACACGACAATTTTAATCAGTAACAGCCCGATTTTTTTTTTTTTTCTTCAAAACACAAACCCACTATATTAATAATGCATACTAATAAGTTTCAATGACTAAAACCACACAATGTATAATGAATATAGGTTGCATATTGTAATAATACATAATACTTGACAATATTAATAACACAATAGAAACGATTGCTAATATAATCACTTGCAATTAATAGTACTTCTTCACAAGGCAACTTTTAAATGAGTTCTTTTTCCTAGTAATGAGAGAAAAAAAATTAATCATTGTTCATTGTCTTAAGTTGAGACATGACGGTCATCAATCTCATTATAACACAGTCTGGCCCCATGGCCAGTCCTTATCTTGTGTTTGTTGTCTAGGACCCCACAATTTACAACCTGGGAATTTGTGATAAGGCTCTTAAACATTTTGCTGTTAGGCTGGGTTCACACCTAGGCGTATCAAATATGCGCGTTTCGTGACGCGCGTTTTTACCCCGATTCGCGGTTAAAAAAAAGGGCGACAAACGCGCGTTTCCGAGGGCTACTTGGCTGTATCCCAATGGAAACGCGCAACAAAAACGCCCCAAAGAAGCTCCTGTACTTCTTTGGACGTAGGGCGTTTTGTAGCGCGTTCATACGGCCTGTAATACGCCCAGGTGTGAACCATACCCATAGGAAATAATGGGATTTCGGTGTTTGAGCATTTTGCAGAGCGTTCAAACGCGCTACAAATTGCCCGGGTGTGAACTAGGCCTTAGAGTCTTTGTCTAGGAATGATGAACTTGCATTCACCTCATAACAGACAGACAAAGATGGCTTCAAGGATGCCCATGTAACAATATGTGAAGTAATGTGTATAGGCCTTATAATTTCATTCCTTTTAGCCCCAATAGTTCTGACTGAGTGAAGACCTCTGGCAAGGCCATTACCCCCTTCCTCTCGTGACACCCACTAATAGGCTGAATAGAGTACAATTTGGTTCACATCTCTGTTTAAAGAGCCTGCAAATGGAACCATCACCCTGAAGACGTGTAATTGACCTCTACCAGCACTCTGCTAAATATTTGTAACCTTTGTGTTATTTTTTATGTATTGCAGTGTGAGCACCACCAACAGGCCGGGCATACAGGAGGGAGTATTTAGAACGACATAAGGACTTCTGAAAGGAGGTGACCATGGAGAAATGGCCCCGAAGGTCAGCAGGTAAGAGGAGACTTTCACTTCTTGAGTATTGAGGATCCCCCTAGATACACACATCCTCTGATATAAAGACATAGAAACAATGTATTCAGTCAGTGTGTGTGTTTCCTACAGGTAGATCCAGTAATAAAAGCACATCAAATAGACCGCAAGGACGCAAAGCCGCACAGCATCAAAAGGTAGCAGAGAATGGAAGTCTTTAACACTCTATATTGTTTATGTAAACCATTTTTAGATCTCCGTTCGGAAAAGTAACACTTTTTCCGTATTTTTAAGAGTGGAAGTTCAAGTGGCGTTAAAGCTGAAATAAAAGAGGAAGTACAAGAGACGTACATATGGGGTGATGAGCAATGTATTGAGGAAGAAATCCCTCCAGAGATGAGCACAGGTGAGGAATGAACACTAAATCCAGAGAAGAGTCCCAGATTCTCCTTGTCCAGTCACTACAACAATCTCTTCTTCTCCCCCCTCCTCTGTCAGTAGACAGTAATGGGGGGACGGAATGTGTCTAGTGGGGGGAGTCAGGAGCCATCAGCCTCTATTAGACTCCGGCTCTCCTCCTCACATCATGTCATTGTGTGTTACCAGCCAAGAGACATGACCAGATTCTCCTTGTCCAGTCACTACAACAATCTCTTCTTCTCCCCCCTCCTCTGTCAGTAGACAGTAATGGGGGGACGGAATGTGTCTAGTGGGGGGAGTCAGGAGCCATCAGCCTCTATTAGACTCCGGCTCTCCGCCTCACATCATGTCATTGTGTGTTACCAGCCAAGAGACGTGACCAGTCTCCCCCCCACACACACTCTCTGGGGTCTCTCATATGTCTCAGTACAGGGGGCTTCACTCTCATTTCTATTCACAGACACCAGAGCCGCTGAGGAAGGAAGGCACATAAGGATTAAAGAGGAGGAAGTCCCTGTGGAGATCAGCATAAGTGAGTATTAAATGCTAAACACAAAAAAACATTTGCAGATTGATTCTACTTGTTCAGATGACTCGAGGTGGCTGATGTATAAATCCTCCTCCCTGCGTATAGCTTGGCGAATGCCGTTCGTCATGGCATTATTGCCACTGGATGGCGCTGAGGAGCATTGGAATGTCCTGTGCTCCTCAGCTCCACGTAATGCTATGTGAATGGCATTGGCCCAGCTATATGCTCATAGGAAGATTTATAAATCCGCCTGTTAAAGTGTATGTACAGTATATCTTGTTTTTCTTTGATCGAGCGGAGAGGTGTTAGAACCTCTGTCTGTCTGTGTTCCTGTTATGAAGATTTGCTCCCTCTTAAATCTTGAGTTGTCAGCAAAACAGGAATTTAGGACAACGCAATAAAGAAGGATCAGAACTCTGAATGTTCTCAGAGATTTGGCTCTGTGAATTGATGATAAATAGACTCAGAATGTATGGCCTGAGAGTTTAGACACTCCCAGAAGTGGTGGGGGTACAAAAACAAATGCAGCCAAGATGATTATGAACTGAAAGTACTATTGACAGACCAAGAGGATCACGAGTGGCTGCTTATGGCAAATGTTTGGTATATGTGTTTGGTCTGATATGCGAGCCATGGTGACAGGTCCACTTTAACAATAAACTGTTTTCTACAGGTGATTTCAGTAGCAGGCGCGCACAGGACCGGAATTACGCCTCACCGGATTATCAGGTACTGGGATGAGCATACAACACATGGTGAGGGGGGAATGAAACGAAGGCCGAGGAGCAGATCCAGAGCAATCCACACCAAACCTTTATTCAGACACCAACGTAAGGGTCAGCAATCCCACAACAGACTCGTAGCCAATAAAACAATAACTCGAGTCAATGTCCGCCACTTGCCGGTGTAGCTGTAGGCGCGCGCATCCTTACACTTCCTTGTAGGTAGCTGTATACATGGCCGCAGTCCAGGAAGTAAATCTGGTGGCAGAGAAATGGGCAGTCGGGTTTCCCAATGAAGCTCCTGGAGAAGCTTGTGGACGGATCTTGCTAAGCAGGCAGGACTTTAGCTGGACAGGAAAAAGAAGAGGGCAGGAGCGCAACAGTGTGGTGCTAGTTGGGTGGATGGGGAGTGATAAGTAAATGAGGATGTGTATATATGGGGTGTGACGGGGATGTCGAGCACTTTCATGTGATGGGTGGTGTGGTGATGGGACACTGTTGGCGTGGTCGTGGAGTCACGTTTTGGGACTGGAAGGACGTCACAAGGTGTTGTCTTGGTCCTTGCGCGGAATCCCGGTCGAAAACCAATGTGGAAGGAGGACAATGGCAACGTTCGAGTTGCTTCACCAAACCTCTTGGTGAGTAGCGAATTCACATTCCTACACATACTACTGCAGAAACTTGGAACTTTGCCATCGTCTTCCCTCCACATTGGTTTTCGACCGGGATTCCGCGCAAGGACCAAGACAACACCTTGTGACGTCCTTCCAGTCCCAAAACGTGACTCCACGACCACGCCAACAGAAGTGTCCCATTACCACACCACCGATCACATGTAAGTGCTCAACATCCTCTGTCACCACCCCATATGTACACATCCTCCTTTACTCATCACTCCCCATCCACACACCTGGCACCAGGCTGTTGAGCTCCTACCCTCTTCTTTTTCCTGTTCAGTCTTACAATTGGACACCCTGGCCCAATCAGTATAGGAGCAGCATACTGGCCACAATTCGCTACACCACCCTGGGAGTGCGCTAATCAATCAGTCTCGACTGAACTTCCTGCAGTAGGGATGTTGTTCAAAGTCTGATTTTACTAGGTCCCATTTGGGCATCTTAAAGGAGAACTATGGGGTTAAGGCTTTTCCCCATAGTTCTCCTCAGGGTAACGGGAGGACACAAACTAGCGTCCTCCCGTCACCCTAGGCTCAGTATACCGCGAGCTGTAGCTCGCGGTATACTGAGACGCTCAAGCGGATCCCGACAATTGTGCCGGGATCCGCCCAGCTGCGTGACTGACAGCTGGCTCTGCATATCGAGAGGCAGAGCCAGCTGTACCCGCCCCCTCCCCTGTCACGGCAGAGAGCCGTGACAGGATCGAGAGGTGAGCGAACGCCAGTATGTGTTCGCTCACCTCCCGATCTACTGAGCCGACCTGTGACAGTCTCATTGTCACAGGTCGGCTAGAACTATGAGGTGAGTGAAAAGCACTCACCTCATAGTTCTCCTTTAAACCCTTTCCCAGAGGACGGCCCCTTTGTGCCAGGTAAGTTAGGTGATATCACAGACGTGACAGAGTAGGATTCATCGCATTACATTGTTGGCCGTTTTGAGTGTTAGCATCACAAGGGAGTACAAAGACAGGTAGAGGGGTTGTTTTAATCCTATTGCTGCCACTGACGTGAGTCATGGCAGCAGCATTGACATGTGAATGTTTACATTTGAACAGCCAGCTGTCAGCTGAAGATCAGGCTTGGCTGACGAACGAACCTGGATGCGCTCAGCTCTAATCACTTCCGGGTTCAAGTACGTCATTCTTCAGCCTTTGTGGCCAGGGTTGAAGCAAGAAAAGCAGAGACTGCACTCGATTTAGCTTCTACAGAGTTCAGAGGTGATGATACGGGTCAACTAGACCCCTGATGTCTCCCTAAAGAGAACCAGTCTACCTTTAGCACACCAAAACAGCTTACTTATATGTATTTCATCTGTGAATATAGTTGTTTGGCCAGAGTTCAGCTTTAGTTAGAATTGATTAAATAACTGTGGTTTGGTTTTTGGATTCCTCCATGATGGGTAGGAAGGGAGGCACAGAGTGAATTGGGCTTCCATTGGAGCCCAGAATCGGTATGCAACAGCTATAACCTGTCACACATCTAGAGCTGGGCGGTTTTCTTGGCCATTTTAGTCCCCCACAACCATAGATAACAAGGGATGGCAGATCTTAAAGTGTACCTCCACCTTGGAAAAGGAAGAACCTTTTTCTTTCTCTGTGGCCATGTTGAGAATTCCTTTCATTGCCTTGTTCTGGGGACTACGCCACCCAAAGGCACGAGCGTGCCCATTTGCCCAATGCTTGGACGGAGGGTCAAGCCAAATGTTGCTTCATCAATGTTTGTAGGCATCTTGCGTTTGCATAACATTATTTTTGTGTTGCTTTGTGCCATTCAGAATGAAAGTCCGGTTAAAGTTGAAGTCAAGGAGGAAGCACAAGACTCCTTCATGAGGCAATGTAAGGAGGAGGAATATCCTACAGAGATCGGGGCGGGTAAGTAACACTAAATCCAGAATAGAGTCCAAGATTCTCCTTGTTCAGTCACTACAACAATCTCTTCTTCTCCCTCCTCCTCTGTCAGTAGACGGTAATGGGGGGACGGAATGTGTCTAGTGGGGGGGAGTCAGAAGCCATCAGTCTCTATTAGATCCCTGGTTTCCATGCCACCTTTAAATGCCTTCATGGCATTGATTTAAAGCTCAAGTGTAAGCTGCTTATATTTTGCCTTCGCTGGTTCCTCTCTTGCCCCTTAGTAACATGCCAATGACATTTTTAAATAAAACCTTTCCACTTTCATTACGTGCCTTATTTTAGACCCAGTGCTACCAGCACTGTGTCCCTGTGCTTCCCTTTGCAGTGCAGGCAGATCATAGCTGGTGGGAGGGTCAGGCAGGGTGCTGTATATAGCTTCCCGGCAATATCACAGCAGCCTACCCCTAGCTCTGATGTAAGCAGCGGGCTGGCTCTTGGGAGGAGTTATGCAAATATCAAACAGCCTTGGTGGGTGGATGGCAGTCTGTAGGGGTGTGTGTTCCTAGACAGATTGAATTTGCATGCAGACCATCATAGGTCCACATGTGATGCTCACCCTTCATGATTATGTTCCTCAGCATGTTTTTCATATTGGCAATAACCGTTATTGTTTCCTATTTCTTCCAGATGGACAATACAGAAGGTATGATATTGAAATAGAAGATGATATCCCATTTGTTCCTTCCCAGATACCCCTCCATTTGGTCCCAGTACACATCACCCACCCGATTCTTCTCCATGTGATGGGAGTTTCCTGATCAGTTACACCCTTTTAGACGTAGAATGGCTCAAACATTCTCATTCGCCAATTGTAGAAGACTTTTAACCCGTAGAACCAAACATCTCAGACCAGAGGACTCACACAGGTTAGGAGCTGTTCTCATGCTCCTAAATGTAGGAGATGCTTCGTATGGAAGTCTACTCCTATCAGACCATAAAACATTTACACGGGGAACAAGCCATATTCATGTTTGGAATGTGGGTGTTGATTACCTTGGGGTGAGCCTGAAGTGACGAGGAAGGCCTCCCCTTGCCGCTCTCGTCTGAGCCCCACTGGAGATGAGACAGCAGCTGAACGGACAGAGAGGGGCACGAGTGCCTGTGACTGATATGAGTGCCTGACACACCGGAGATGGTGGTGCTGACGACTGGATGCCAGAGGTAGCTGGTGGCTGATAGCAGATCAGGCAGCACTGGTGTGAGAAGCTGAAGCAAGGAACAAGCCAGATAGGTAACGTGCGGTCAGTGTGGCGCAGAAGTGATTTAGGAGCAGGCCGGGTCATACACTTGCAAGCAGAATGGTACCAAATCAGAAGACAGAAGGGGGGTCACAAGGCAGGCAGAGTCAGGAATCAAGCTGGGTCAGACGGGTATCAAAAACAGGATCAGGAATGCAGACTACAGCTGAAGATTTCTCAGCAATTTGCAGATGCTGGAGCCATTCTTAAATAGCCCGCCAGGTGCCATTGCACATGCACGGTTTCACGCATGCGCAATATTAGCACCGAATATACGCATTGGCTTGTGCAGTGATCCGGGCAGAAGCTGTACTATGGGTGCTGACTGATCCACCCTGACAGTGGGATATGTTTTTCTGAGAAAGACAAACCTTAAAGGCACCAGAAAAGTCATCCTGACGTACTGAATGTATATTTTTATATGGGAAAGATGAACTACTAATACCCCAGAGGGTCCCACAAGGGTGACAGGCCTTTTCTGTATTATGAAGGTCGGCTTAGAGGGCTCATACGGGGAAGAAGCCATATTCCTGTCCTCCATAAAAGAAGTTTAGAGCTGACAATGAAAATCCTCTTGAGTAAAACTCACAAGGACAAAGCTTGACAAGGAGCCCCCTTGGGAAAGAAGTAGACCTGCCCCAAGGGCCAAAGCATACTCCTCCAGGAAAAACTGAGAACCGGATGTAATATCACTGCAACCCGAGAGTTGGTGAAATGTTTTCATTCAGTTCCTGAAAAGCTACAGCATTGGACAGCCATCGTTTGGTGCTTCCTGAGAGGGGTGGTGGGCTCCAGTAGAAGATCAGGATGTCTTCTAGAGTTATGACCAGGCCCAGATTTCCCACAAGGCCACCGAGGCCCGGCCTCAGGGCGGCAGAGCGCAGATGGGCAGCAGCGGTGACCTTGTGGGGAAGTTTCGGGCGCCGGTGTAAGGTGTCCCGGCGGCGGACCGTAGTGTGCGCCCGCCGTCCAATCACGACGGGGCGGGCCGCAACTGCTCCCCTCCAGCTGTCAGATATAGGGCCCGAGGTATGAATCCACCGGCGTCCTGTTAATGTAGATTGACGCCGGAGGAAGTAGCCGTCTACCTTGCTATTACACAGGGGATTGTTTTCTCCTGTGTGATAGCAAAAAAGTTAGGTGAAAAAAAATGTAAATTGATAAAAAAATAATTAAATAAATAAAAATTAAAACAAAAATAAGAAATAATTGAATAAAAAGTGAAACAGTGAAAAAAATATTGAAACTAGCCTGCCATCTGGTTGCCATTCTCAATTGATGGGGAGGGGGGATGGCGGGCGCGGGGGGCGTATTGTGGAACCTGGCCTTGGGGCGGCAGGGAGAGTAAATCCGGCCCTGGTTATGACACACGTTAAGAAAATTGTAGAGGCTTGAGTACATTTTGGAAGGGTAGAAGGGGCATTGCATAACCCAAAGAACATAACAAAGTACTGTTAACATCTACTCAATGTGTGTGTGGTGTTCTACCAGCTGACCTCTGATCAAGTTTTAAGCCCACCAGCCAGTCAGCGAGATGTAGTCCTATAGATTATTAGATGTTAAGGGTTTATACCTGTATCATGCTTCATATGGTCACGGTGCACACTAAATGGCCAAACGTTTGTGGCTAGCAGACCATCACACCTATACAGCCTTGCTGGACATCCCATTCCAAATCCATGCGCATGGATAAGTGTCTGGTCTCTCTTTGCGGCTATAAAAACCTCCACCATTTTGGGCCACAAGATTTCGCAGTTCGTCTCTGGGCCAATAGAGCATTTGGCGCTGATGTTGAATGGGAAGATCTGTCTTGCAGTCCTTGTTCTATTTTACCCCAAAGGTGTGCAGTTCAGGGCTTTGTGAGGGCCACTCAAGTTCCTTCACACCACACTTGTCTTTATGGAGATGGCTTTGTTCACGGGGGGGGGGGGGCACAGTCATGCGGGAACAGTTTTAGAGGGGGTGGGTCTCTTTCCGGGGGGGGGGGGGGCACAGTCATGCTGGAACAGAAAAGGACCTTCACCAAACGGTTCCCACAAGAGCACAATTGTCTAAAATGCCTTTGTATACTGTAGTACTAACCGTACCCTTCACTGGGAACCCCTGAACCCAATAATGTGAAGGGGTGTCCACACATTTGGCCATGTAGTGCATATGTACAACGTGACCAATCTACATGATAGCTGTGGTTGCAATGGTCACGACTTCCATCATCTCAGACCTATCGCTAGCATTGGGATGGCTTCTATGGAAAATTAGCTGTGACCTTTATCCTAATAGGTTGGACTTGATGGACTAATGTCTTTATTCAACCTCAAATACTATGTAACCTTTAATTTGTCACTGAATGCTAAATGTCTTTGATTGTGATATACGATCCTCCATTCATAAGCCTTCTATGCTAAGACTATATGAAGCTCAGAATGTCTGATCTCGACATCGGCCTTTTTCTTTTCTCAACAGAATAAATGATGGCTCGGGGTCCCAGAGCATTGACCCGCTTCTAGGAAGATCAACAGTAAGTACAAGTCATTGTATGAGCAGCAAGATACAACCTAGAGGTCAACTGATACCCGTCAAATGCTGCTTCTTGCATCACTTGGGGCCCAATCGAACGTCAAAGCCAGCCCTGGCACTTCAGCTGCGGTGGAACTACAAATTCCATCAGAGTCTTGCAAATGCCTCATGGGACTTGTAGTTCCAAAACATCTGGAATGCCAAGGTTGCCTACCCCTGTGGCTGGTCACATAACCAGATGCCGAGGGTTTCGGTCCTGTTTTATGGAAGGCTGCCCTTCAGCAGAAATCATGTGACTGATGCCTGGGTTTTTGGTCATGTGACTGGCTGTGTACTTTTCCTGGGAATTGTAATTGGTTTATTGATGTTGGTATATAGACCTCATGGACATTGATACTCTGTAGGGTTATATATAAATATATGTATTTATGATCAATTCTATTTTTTTCTAACAGGATTTCCTTTATGATGAGGAAACGATTGAAGACATGTATTCCTACACCATGGACTCCGACAGAGGAGTGAGTTTTCTATAACGTAGCTATGCCATGACTGTAGTAATGGCCACAGTATCACCACCCACAGAGACCAACTATGGCGAGTTCCTTATCAGGACGCGTGCAATGATCCCAGTCTCCATTTTGGAAGGATGAGCAATATTGCCACCTCAGTACCTGGTTGACAGCTGGTCCTGCCTCTCTAGAGCCAGCTGTGCCCACCTGCCTGTCCCTCTAATGAGCGCTGGGGGGATCCCTGCAGTCGCCACTCTCTGTAAGGCGAAGATCAGGAAGTGAGCGGTTTGTAATCGGTCGGTTCTCGATCATTAGAGCCGACGTGCGACAGCTTCAGTGTCGCACGTCAGCTCTAATTATGGGGGTGAGTGTATTTCGCTCTCCCCATAGATCTCATTTAAAGTGTAACTACAGCCAGGCGCCATCTTAGCCTCAATTTGGATTGCAGTTGCACATGGGATCGGCTATGACACCAGACATTCAAAAGCCTGAAAGTTTGGTTGAGAGCTGAAATGAGCACGCTGGCAGCCTTGACAGTAACCGTTTTGGGAGACCATTAGATTTGGTGGGTCTAGTTCCGCTTTAAGCTGAAGTGTTTCATTGCACAAAGAGTAGAAATTTGTTTTTTTAAACCAATTTTTTTTTTTTTTTTTTTCTCTTTGAAGTCTTTGGAGGATTCATCGGACGAAGATGAGGAATCGGAACCATCTTCTCCCGAGAGAGAGCCGGACGAGGTAGTCGATTGTTATTTGAAGCTTGCAGTCATTGACATTGTGACACAACTCGGCTTCACGTAAAGCTGCACACATCTGCTTGGTGCTCCGCTCTAAACATTTCTTCAATTGGCCAAGTATTCCGTTCAAATGTATATGAATATCTGCCACGTGATTGGTAATTCACCTTGACCAACCATGTGATCCTGCCAAGACCTCACTGCAGAAGGGTGACCTCCTTTTTTTTTTTTTCTGCTGCAGTAAAGTGATACAGCTTGGTCACTGACCCGCCAGCAGACTGGGCAGTGACTGATGGTCACTTTTTGTCAGTGCAGTAGAACCTGATTGGCTCACAATTCTGGCCTTCTCAATCTTCGAGTCCTGCCGTGTGGGCAATGCCATGGCGCTGATTTAGGACAACACGTCTTATTGTCTTTTATGTATTTTACAGGAACTCAAAGAACTCCTTCAAAGGCTCTACGAGAAAGTCAACCCTCCAGGTCAGCCAATCCCTCCCTGCTTCCCAGAAAATCCAGTGCGCGTCCGGCCTGCTTCCCCGTCCGACGAAAGCCCCTCTGGAGACACCCTCATCGGCAACAACGACTGGTGCGTCTGCGGGAACTGCAGGCCGATGCCCACAAACTTCGAATCGGTGTGCTGCCACAACGTGGACAATGCCGATCGCTTTCTCACCGGTGAAATGCACTGCATAACGGAGGCCGAGGAATTCCGCGACCGTTGCCTGAACGAAAAGATCCTGCGCTACCTGCTCGAATGTGACAATGTTACCAAGAAAAAAGATTTCGATAATGATAAGAATCGGTGAGTACAAAATATACAAGCTGACATTTGTGTTTCCTCGCCCCCTATCCTTAAGGCTGGGTTCACACCTAGGCGTATCGAATATGCGCGTTTGTTGCACGTTTTTACAGCGATTCGCGGTAAAAAAAAACCCGCGTTTCCGAGGGCTACCTGGCTGTATCCCAATGGAAACGTGCAACAAATACGCCCCAAAGAAGCTCCTGTACTTCTTTGGACGTAGGGCGTTTTTGTAGCGCGTTCATACGGCCTGTAATACGCCCAGGTGTGAACCATACCCATAGGAAATAATGGGATTTCCGTGTTTGAGCGTTTTGCAGAGCGTAGGAACGCGCCTTACAGCCAGGGAAGGTGCAATCTTTGCCATGGTGCTGCACATCAGCTATGCCTTGAAAGTAGAGGTGCACCGAAATGGAAATTTCAAAACCAAAATAAAAAAAATTGTCAGGCCGAAACCGAAAATGATTTTTTATTTTTTCAAATGTTTTAAATATTTTATTTGTATTTATTTTTTTATTCATTTTTTGTTTTTTAAATATTTGTATTTTTTACTTTTAGGGGCTTTGGGGAAATATCAGGGGTCTAAACAGACCCCTGATATTTCCCTTTTAAAATAGAAAAAGAGATTGAGGACACAGAGCCCTCAATCTCTTTTTCTGCAGCCCCTGTTATCAATGAACAGGAATCCTCTATTCTGAGTGTTTCTGTTCATTGAGGATAGAGTATGTTTACTATAACCACAATCATGAATGAACAGGAAGTGATGTAGATCACTTCCCATTCATTCATAATTGAGGATATAGTAACCATACCATGTCCTCAATTATCTACAAACACTCAGCGATCACTGACTGCTTGTACCCGCTCTCTGACACGCTGTCACAGGAGGCCGAGGGAGCGGTGTGGGAGGAGAGCTCAGCCTCTTGTGACAGCGCTGTCTCCGCCCACACACCGCTCTGCCGGACTGTGATAGAAGGCTGAGCGGTGCGGGGAGGAGAGGCGCTGGCCGTTCACAGCGCTCTCTTCCCGCAGCACTCGCCTGGCTGTCACACTTTCTCTCCTCCCGGCTGGGACGCAGAGCAGCGCCCAGCGGGGAGGAGAGAAACCAGGGATGCGTCGATGTATAGACACAAAAATGGTACTTTCGGCATTTAGCCAAAAGCGCATTCGTCGGCCGATATGTTTCTGCGGCCGATATATCGGTGCATCCCTACTTGAAAGTAACTGTTTTGGAAGACAGTTAAATTGGTGGGTCTAGTCCCACTTTAACCACTTGAAGCCCAGGTGTTTAGACCCCCTTCCTGGCCAGGCCATTTTTCAGTATTCAGTGCTGCGGTACTTTGACTGACATTTATTCTGTCATGCAGCGCTGTACTGAAATGAATTTTACACCATTTTTGGGGGACAGATAGAGCTTTCTTTTGGTGGTATTTAATCACCACTGCGGGTTTTATTTTTTACTATAATTAGGAAAAATTACTGAAAATTTTGAAAAAAAAACGTTTTTTTTAACATTGTTAGGAAACCTTTATTATTACCCAGTTTTTTTGTCAAATATAAAAGATGGGGTCACGTCGGTTAAATAGACACCAAACATGTCAAGCTTTAAAATTGCGTGCACCCGCGACATTGCAGAAAACGACCGCAACCAAAATTAGCCATAGTCGACGCTTTAAACGTTTTTACCGCTCATCAGTTTAGTGTTATCAGTGATTGATGGCCCTAAAATTATTGCTCTCACTCCGACGTTCGCGGCGATATGTAACATGT